TTCCAACTCACCATGCTATGTCTGCATGCATGTGTGTGTGTAAAATATTTCTTTTTACATGTCCTTCTCCACATTCCTACATACCAGAGAGATGTTCTTGGCTTTCTGTGAATCAAATTCTGATCCAGAGATCTCTTTACTATTCTAACCCCCTAAGCCTTCTAGAGGTTCCTTACAAAGGATCCCATTAAAGGTTCACAAGAGCAGATACTGTTCATTTTTTATTAAAGTAGTTGGGTAAATATATCAAATCTGTAAATGTCTGGAGTATTTTTGGCAACAACAATTGCTCTGGGGAGGATTCCAGGGACTGGAAACAGCATTGCTCTGGAGAGGGAAGCAAAGGGTCATAGATGAGAAGAGGACTTTCTTTTTACTGGGTACTCTTTTGTGCCATTTGTTTTTTTACCATGTGCAAATATTACCTTAAAAAATTACACAAGAAGGGTATTGACTACCAATTGACATTTGTTGGATACTGACTGTTTCAGTGACTATTCACTGGTGTTTGACTATAAAACCTCTTTGAATATTTACAACAGCCTTATGTAAAATCCTATGTTCCAAACTCAGGTAGTATCCGTCACTAGCTGATAAATGGCAACATGGAGAACTGAACTCAGTTCTGCTTTCCAAAACCATAGACTATGTTGTGTTGACTTCAAGTCTTCCCAAGGGAACAAAATGTGTAAGACTGTAGCATTGGGACTACTTTTAGGAAACTAAAGGAACATTGGAATTCCTATCACATGGTTCACACCAACAACTTAATCTTCCTTGACCCAAGATGCCTTGTTAAAAGCCAGTCACGCATGTATCACTCCACTGGGAGTTGAGCCTCCCTGATGATTCCCCCAAGTCCTTCCCTGGCACTGGGGTGCTCACTCCAGAGGTGGGGAAGTTACCTGTTCCCGTACTGTCTCCAGTAAACTTCTATGTCTAAGTGGGGGATTTCCGGGGTAGAAGTGAAATGGCTTGTCAATATTCTAGTTCTCCTAAGCATATGGATTCTTCATTTATTTAGCAATTATCTTTTGAGTGGTCCAGACACTGGAGGCAAGCACTCTTCTGAAGGGTCAGAATTACAGAGGTGAGCAAGGTCCTTGCCCCCAGGAAGCATCCATCCTGGTGTGAAGAGGCAGGCAATAAACAAACAAGCAAGCAAGTAAGCAGAACGCCAGATAATGAGTGTATTGAGGAAAATTAAAACCTACTGTTAGGCAGCGTGACTGGGTGACTACCTCATCACGGGTCATTAGGAGGGCCTTTCTGGGGAAATATTTACTTAAATGACAGGAATGACAAATATGCCCTAGGAGCTATGCCCTTCAAAACAAGCTCAGGTTCCTGTGTGTTCCATTCCCTCACCCAATTACTATTCCAATCTGCTGTTTATTTACAAGGAGATTTTGCAGTCCCAGAAGTTAGCACTAGAAAGGACCCAAGTCTTCTTAGTCCAATGCCATCATTTTAGAGATGAGGAAAGAAAAATGTAGAAAAGTGGAAAAAGCAGGTCCCATAGCTAGTTGGTGGCCTGACCAGTGTCTGAGAGTCCTATCTAGCCCATATTTCTTCCACAAACCCACATTCCTCCCCTGCTTATCTGTCCAGTGTTCAGCTCCTCCCTGTAGAACCTTCACCCTGGTGCCTGCCTTTCTGGAGTCCACTGACACTAAATCCTCTCTGGACCAAGGGGACCATCTGAAGCAGCATTAGGCATCTTGAGGATGATATCCTGGGGACGAGGATAACAGTGGAAGGACCAACACAACTTTCCATGATGCAATCTCACCACAACCCTGCCATTCCCTGGAGCCATACCTGCCATCCTCCCTGCCCACAAGTGAGCCCTAATAGGATCCTTCAAGTCAGGGAGCTACATGGCTCTATGACCTCAATGAACACTATACATCTATCTTCCAAAGTGTTCCCTGGTTTAATTGAGTTGAGATGAAAACGCTCTATTCTCTCAACCCCTCTCAAAATGCCTTACAAAAGGATTAACCACAGAATTTCTTTAAATAGCAACTTCCTTTAGTACATGTAAAGTATGATCTACAAAAATTCAATCTACACAAAGATTTTCTCCTCCCCCTCCCCACGAAACAACAGCTACCCCCTTCCCCACGAAACAACAGCTACCATATCAAGGGCAATAACATAAACTTGGATTCTTAACGGTAGATTTTGGGATTCTTTTATTATGTAATGATTCTCATACATGCTACAAATACTTATTGAACTGCTCTATGAAATACGCTCTTACAGGTTGTTGTGAGGACACAATTGAGCTAAAGACACAGCCTCTGCCCTTTGGAACTGTGCATAAGGACAACTCGAACAAGAGGCAGATGTGATGGGTGCTACCTCAGATGTATGGACAAAATCAACAGGGGACAAGGGAGTGTGAGATTTTATCTCAGTCAAAGATGAGGAAAGGAAGCTGCAATATTTTAATTGGGTATCAAAGGATGGTTATGATTATATAATTGGATAATTCATTCTAGGAAGAAATATCATGACATGTACAAGGGACAGGACCTACAAAGGCACATTCTCAGAAGAGGAAGAAGCCCAGGGTAGCTTAATTGTGAAACAGGAAATCATGAGGAGGAGAACAAAGGCTTGGAAGGGAGATTAGAGCCTTGAATGCAAGAACAGATCAAGTCTAGCCCCAATCCATAAACCATAGAAGGCTCAAGTGGGCTTTGGGCACAGAAAGAACATCACAGTCAGAGTTGTGCTTCAGGAAGCTCATTCCGGCAGCCATATTTTGGACTAATCTGAAGGGGTAAGGGCAGGTGTCAGGGACAAGGAGGCCCATTTAAAAAATTATCACATAGTTCCTGGATCATATATAAAGTAAAGAATAAATTCAAGAGCTAGAATAAAAGTAGAATTGGTGAGGGAAGGGATCCAAACCCTAGGAAGGAGGGTCTAGTTCTAGAAAGGGCTGAGGGGCACAGGCCTCAGATTCTGGACTCAAGAAGAGGAGTCAGTATGACCTGATGGTGAGTGGTGTCTCTTTAAGAAAAGGCAGTTGTGAGATGCCTCCTCCTGCTTGAGACAGTCATTGTGAGCCTACTGCAAAAAAAAAGGCTGCCCCCTCTGTACATCTTATGAGCTACCTATGAAGCCTCAGTTATTAATAACTCCTCTTCTGGAGACAGACAGAAGTGCCTGTTATACATGAGGAGCCCAGAACATTTCTTAAATTATGACGTCTCTACAGCAGCAGTGAAAGCAGCTTGATTGGAGTGAAAAGCAGAAGCCCAGGGAACATCCATTTCTGAACAAATGATAACTCGGTGAAGGGAGGGCAACTTTAATCAAGAACATCAGGCAGACCAGGCACAGTGGCACGCACCTCTAATTCCAGCACTTTGGGAAGCTGAGGCAGAAGGATCACTTGCAGCCAGAAGTTCAAGACCAGCCTGGGCAACATAGTGAGACCTCATTTCTACCAAAAATTTGAAAGTTGGCCAGGCATGGTGGTGCATGCCTGTAGTCCCAGCTACTTGGGAGGCTGATGGGGGAGGACAGGTTGAGCTCAGGATTTTGAGGTTGCGTGAGCTATGACAGCACCACTGCATACTAGTCTGACTGACAGAATGAGACCCTGTCTCAAAATAATAAGATTAAATAAAAAGCTGGCGTAATTTAAGCCTTATAATTGTGCCCTATCTGGTAAGAGAAAATGCATGATAGATAGAGGTCTTTCAACTTGAAGAATTAGATCCTGGATTCTCCTGCCTGAGCCACACATGCCTCGTTTCTTGGGTGAGCGTTCACACATTCACATAACTAGCTGTCCAGGGCTCTCTGTGATGAGATTGTGAATTTCAAGAAGTTTATCTCTGGCCTCATTTTCTGGTAACTCTCTCTAGAAATATATAGCTGGATTTCCATTCTAGGCAGAACTATGCTAACATTTTGAAGCACATTCTCAGCCAATTGGCCCATGGAATCTGTGGAAGTTGTCTTAGTTTCCCAACATGCTTTCACAGAATATGAATATCATGAACAAAGGGGTCTTGGGGTAGAATAATTTTGGGAAATTCCATTCTAAATAAAAGTTAAGGTATTTCTTTGCTATAAGGCACCTCTAAACTTTCAAGGGTTGGTATGTTCTAAGACTCTCCTAGAGTGAGAAACAGTAGTTAGCATCTCCCAACCTTATGTATCTGTAAAACTATTTTCAGCAAAATGTCTCGAGAGACAAGAGTACTGCAGAATATATTTGGAGAAAAATCAGCAATGACATTACTCTCAGGAATATTTGTATTCAACTGGGAATCTGGAATAATACAAATTGTAATACTAATTGAGTGCTTACTATGCACCAGGCACCTTTCTAAATACTTTACGTATACTTAATCCTTATACCCGTTGGTACTATTATTTCCCTTCTATGGATGAGAAAACTGAGGCACCGATTAGTGAAGAGATTTGTCTAAGATCCTAAATAGAGCTGGGAATTGGACCTAGACAGTCTGGTGCCCACAGAAATTAATTTCTGATGGTAGAATTCCAAACACTGTGATCAACTGTCAGTGGGAGAAATTCTGAGCAGAGCCTTGCATGGGAATATTTCAATCACAGTAAGTCTAAACCTTTCTTCTCATGTTTTCATCTTTACAAGCTTCCCAGATGCTCTCTAGGACACAACTCCTGAACTATACCACTAATTCAGTTTCGTCACCAAATTATGTTATATTGTACACACATACTCTCCCACGAAAACAAAGTCATGATTCAGACAGCAATGCAATTATCAACAATAAATGGAAATACATAAAGAAAACAATCTCTTGATTAACCAAAACAGCAAGTAAATGAACATGCAAGTTTGAGAAATGGCTTCTCCTGTGTATCAAGGTATTGATCCTTTGCTCCACAGGTCTAGGGACAAAAACCAAAGGACTGCTTTCCTTCCATGTGTTGCAAAATTTCACATCTCTACTCTACTTGGCTCAAGAATTGTCAAAGACATGTCCTACCCTTTCCCACTTCCTCTCCTTGTTCAGAAGAATTATCACCAGCTTTGGGTGCATCTGGTAACCATCTTCACTGAAGGACAGATTCCTCCCCTCAAAAGTGACGTTGATCAGATACCTGTAAAGATGAAATAAAACGAAGATTAAAAGTATGAAGAGGATATACCACGAACTAGGCAATTAGGTATATAGAGAGAAAGCTGGCTAAAGACAGACCAGTAAATAGAAATACAGATACCATTACCAAACTTGGTATACCTTGAACTCCCATTTGATTATGCAATAGAGTCATCCAAATTTTCACAGAGTAGGAATCATATGAAAAAGTAATATAAAAATTTTAAATAAAAGATGTTTGGTCACTGCATGTTCTTACTTACAAGTGGGAGCTGAACAATGTGAACGCATAGATACAGGGAGGGGAACAAGACACACTGGGGTCTGTAGGCAGGGAGACGGGGAGAGGGAGAGCATCAGGAAAAACAGCGAATGTATGATGGGCTTAATATTTAGGTGATGGGTTGATAAGTGCAGCAAATCACTATGGCACAAGTTTACCTATGAAGTGAACCTGCACATCCTGCACATGTACCCAGAACTTAAAATTAAAAATAAAAATGTTTAAAAAGGTGTTTGGTTGAAGTTCACTCTATAGGTATGACATTGAGCAAATTACTCAGCCTTTCTGAGCCTCAGCGTTTTTCCCTATTGGCAAAAACTAGTATAATAAAGGGACCTACTTCATTAGGTTTGTAAGGCTTAAATGGGATAACTTAGGTTAACCACTTACCATGTGGCCTGGTGCATAGTAGAGTCTCATTAAGTGCTAACAATTGCTATTGAAAAACAAAGATGGATTAAAGGTTGGAGATGGTAGAGACAAGAAATGAAAGTAAGAGTGTACCAAGACAACTTTCTGCTAAGAAAGGTCTCCCTCTATCCCAGATTAGGGTCTCCCTCTATCCCAGAGATATGTACATACTCTTTAACTCTTGCTAAGGTCTTGCCTGTACTTCTAAGAGTTGTGAGATGAGTACAGTAAGCAAGGATCTGATATGACAGGATGCATCTGGAAACCAGGGTTATTACACTGTGTATAGGGAACAGAAAATACTAAGGAATGGGAAAAGGTGGGAGAGGCATTTCACAGAGTGCTCTGGTGACTTGTGCATAGATTAGCGGAAACTCTGGAGGTGACTAGAGTCAGACCAATGAAACTGTCTTCCTCCTGGACACCTTCACCTTAGCCCACCCTTTTCCCCTCTGGCTGCTGTCATCTGATGAGCAGTCCCTTCATTGGGAATTCCCAAAGGCATGCTCATTACAACTGCATTAGTGCAACTGCACTGATGGTAATTAATGTCTTTTTACCATAATGGACCAAGGAATCAATAATGATTAGCTCTGTGTTCACATGACATGTTACTCTGGAGCCTTGGGCCTGATGTTGCTTGTGAGACATGTCCCTGCTAAGAAGCAAAAGGGATATGTTGTAATTGTAGTGAGGATGCTAAAGGAGGCAGCTTAAAAACTCTTTTTTTTTTTTTTAAACTCCTCTCATTCATTGAAACTGGGAGGTCTTCTTTGATTCTTCCAGGTAATGTTAGGTTAAACAACAAGGTTGCTAGGATGCATATCCTTCTGGTGATTCTAATGATGCTTATGCAGCATGAACCAAATCCTCATGGATCACTTCTCACTTCCAGAACTACCTAGGATGTTTAAGCCTGTCATTCCCTGATCTTGTGTAGCTTCACAAATGGAATCAAGAATGCAGAAGACCCCAAAGGAGTAGCGATTCCTAGAATCCCTAGAACTGAAAGAGACTTTCATAATCAACTAGCCTACCACTTCTTACAATTTATGCTTCCCTTCTATATCATAAAATTGGTCTTCTCAGCTCTTCTTGAATTCTTTCACTGATGGGGAACTTTTCACGGCACCTTCCGGGCTCAAGGTAGCCATCTCAGTGTCGGCTACTTAGTTCTTTCTTACTTAAAGCTGAAACCTTCTCCCCTGCAACCCTTTGATACCTGTTTCCTTTTTAGAGATTCTACAGTCTTAGTCTAATCCTTCTTCTACATGAGAGTTTCTCAAGTATTTAAAGACATTTATCATATATCCCTTATGAAATCAGTTTTACTCTTTAAATAACCATTAAACTCTTTTAGTTCTAAAATTTTAACTTGATGGATTAAAAAACAAACACAAGGAGGTTAAATTATTTGTCCAATGTTATTGTATGGCAGACGCACCTGACAGCAATAAGTTATGCATACCCTGAGAATGACCCTACAGTCTCAGAAAAGTGTATGTTCGGAGTCCTAAGCTAAGAAATCTGGAAATAGTCAACCCAGAGATTTACTTTTTATCTATGAAGGACATCTAAACCCCCAGTTCATCTCTTGGTATGCAGGCCATACAGGGGATCAAAGTCCTTTGTTTTGGGTTAAATGAACGTTTAGGTGAACGTTGCTAAGTGAAAATGCTATATAAACTGCATGCATTTTACAAATGGTAGCAGTTCTCCTGTCCAGCCCACCACCACTGGATTGTCCTTCTATGTAAGTTCCCCCAGTAAATCCTATGTCTCATTCATTGTCTCTGGGTCTGTTCTTAGGCATTTCAGATATGGTGCCATCGCTATTGGAGTCAATAAGGGTCCAGTATGACAGTTACACAGCTAATTGGGAGCAGAAGTAACATTTTAAGCAATATTTCCAGTTCCATGTCCTTTCCTGACACCAGCCTGATTGTCATATACAACATCAGAGTTAGCATCCCAAGTCCTTTACATATTCCTCATATGCCATGGCTTCATGTTTTCTACCATCCCATCTTGGCTGCTCTCTCCAGACACCTCCACTCAGTGACATGTTGCATCCCCAACACAACTCAGTGCTCAGTGTGCTCCACTCCTTGCCCTGCTCCTCAGCCTTCAGCCCAGAGCTGCTCACCCAAGCCCATCATTAGTGTGAAGGTAATATTCAGGCCTCCTATAGTTTGCAATGACTCTAACACTCCAACCAAAAGCCCTGAAGAATTCATTGCAGAGAGTATAATTACAAAAGCACAAGACAAGTTATTTTAAACCAACAAACTAGAATGTAACCATGAATATAATATACTTGAAAATATATTCTTACTACAAAGACACTGAAGAATTTCTGGAGTCTTCAAATAAAGTTTATGAGACATGTAAAACAATTTGGTCTCATCTATGTTGAAAGGAGGAAGGAAAGAAGGAAAAAAGAAGAAAGAAAAGGAAAGAGGAAGGAAAGAAAGAGAGGAAAAGTGGGAGGAAGGAAGAGAGAGATGGAGGAGAGAGGGGTAAGGAAGAAGAAGAATGGGAGGGAAATAAATGATCTGGCTTAAGCATCCACCTTTTCATCAGACACTGTGCTGAATAATTCCGCCTGTATCTAAAACACCATTAAGAATATTTAAATGAAAGTATCTATTTCAGAAGGCAATTATAAAAGAGGAGTTCCAAAAATAACTCAATTAATAAGCAGCATCAATGGAATAACTATATAGCCTCTCAAGATGACTTCTTTGAAGGGGACAGCATTGAACTTGGTGTATAAGTTGAGAAATTTGAACTTGCAGAAAACAAATCACATTCATGGGAAATGTAATTGGTCTGTAAATTTCTCTGGCTATTCCTGTTCCAGAAACTTCTGATTTTCCTTAGAAACTGTTCTCTTTCTGGGGTGTTCCTCCTCTTCCAGCTCTAAGTTCATTTTATCTACTTAAGCATTCCTCACATATTTTACACTTATCAAAAACATTAGTAAAATTTTATGACAATATACAAAATATTCTTCTCCAAAGTATCCTTTCATCATTCATATCTGTCAGCAGCATATAGATTAATCATTCACACTGTGTTTTTATGAGTAATTTCTTGTGGTGTGAGAACATTTAGCCATTAGTGAGGAGTTTGCAAATATACACCAGCCTTGAGCAAGATGCCCTTTGAATAGCAGAACAAACCCATCCATTCATTGGTAATGAATAGTGTGAAAAAATAGTTGGGGGTGTGGTCACTTCTAGACATGTGATCTTGGCACCTGAATCTCAGTTATTCTTCTCTAAAATGAAGACATCATTTTACCTCCAGCTTATCAGAGAAGTCTGTTGTAATGATCAAATGAAAGAGTGGGTAGGAAAACTATATAAAATATGATACCAATATAAGGTTATTTCATAGGAAAAATTCAGAAAAATAATATATTAGCATAATTTGAGTATCTAAAGGCAAGAAAGTTGCTTGATTTTAAACCTCAGTGAATAAGTGTGATAACTACATTTTAATAAGACTCAATTATCAATGAAATACATCTAAAAAATGGAGATTGGCTTCCACACATGGAGGCTAAACTAGATCAAATGGCTATATTAAGCAATTTAACTTTCCATAAGACCTGAAAATATCCAACTACCCTTAGATCTGGCTGTACTTTGTCAATTTTTACTATTAATTAGAACCTCAAAACTTTCATGTGTGAATCCTGGGTAAAGGATTAAATTTTATTTAAAATTAAGAGATGCCATAGCTATTCTATTTCTCTCCAAACATGTCATCCTCAAGTACACAGTCAAAAAACCTTGCTTCAAGTGGCAGCCAAATGCAGAAGTTCTACCCATGAGACTCAAATCCCCTGGAAGTCCCATCAAGGTTGTGTGTGTGTGTGTGTGTGTGTGTGTGTGTGTGTGTGTACATATTTTAAATTGCTTGATTTGTCTCTAGAATGTAGTTTGAACCTTAAGAAACCAGATGGTCTGTCTCATACAGTTCTAATATTACACAGAATCTCACAGTGCTAGAACTAGGAGAGAACTTAGAAATTATCCATTGAGAACCCTCATTTTAGAGAGGAGAAAATAGGTGCCAAGATGCAAAACGACTTTCCCAAGGTGACCTGCCTGTTTAGGACGGGAGCTTAAGTCTTCTGACTCTCAGCTCAGGGTCTTTCCATGATCACCAACTGAAGTGAAATCAGTTCCACAGAGCTCCAGATGTGCATTTTAGCATTCTTGCATCACATGGCCCATCCTGGACTATATAGATCCCTAATACAGACCGCATAAAATAAAATCTATCTTAGATAATTA